TAGAAGTTTCTGCAAAAGATTTTCTTCAATGTACTTTGCATCAAATTAATTACCACTATCATTTCTATTTTTAAAACATATCTCAAGAGTGCATATAAGGAAATTTTTCAAGTAATTTGAACTTTAAACTTTCAATTCTCTAGACTTTCAATTCTCTAAAATTAATGAGTGACACAATATCACAGATCCTTTGAACTTATTTGTGGTTGAAAAAAATCAGAGTTAAATACGTGCAAAATAAATATGAAATTTGTTTCATGCAGCTTGAGTATGTATACCATCAAAAAGTTTATATTGAATGTTAAGAAATTTCTGAATCAATTACTTTTACTCTATCAAAAAGTTTGAAGCATGATGAACCATAATATTGTTAAAATTTACTACATACTTAATATTGTTCTAAGATGTATCATATAAATCTACTTGCACTATACTCAAATTTACTGCATCTTGATGATAAGTTGAATCATATAATCGTACTTCTTAAAATAAGTAACACTACACGGTTCAATTTAACTACTTAATAAAGTTACAACAAATTTGAACCGCAATGTAGGCTGAGATACTGATTATATAGCTAAATGTAGCACCGGTTTCAAAGAAAACGTACTTGTTTGATTACTAATCAGTATTTATATCCTTGATACATTCAATTCTAGTTTTTAATGTAAAATAGTTTAACTGTTTATAATACCTCACAAATATTATAATTGTTATTTGCATTTTCAATTATTTTTAATTATTATATTCTTATTCTTTATCGAAATATTTTTGTCTTATTTTTATAATAATGACTGCATCATAATTGTTGTATGAAATGCTATGCTCTCTCCTTATAATCTTTAAACATATTTCTCAAAATTGTAAATGCCTTATTTTTCTAAATTTATGCAAGAAAAGTTTAACCTAAAATATTTTCTAGTAACCTGACATATCTGTACAAAAATAACACAAAATATGTGTCACTTTAAACATTTACGAAGGAAATATTTTATTTTTTAAAGAACATATCCTAGAAATATAAGAATAAAATATTGCATTTCGTCTAGCAAGATTTGAAAGATCCACCTCACGTTTCGGAGTAGTCCATGAATATGAGCAGTATGCATATAAAATTTGACTTTAAAATCAGGTAGAATATAGAAAACGAAATTGAAAAGTTACGCTTTGACTTTAGAAAATAGGTTTCAATAACATGTGTCAGGTCTGTACGTTATTACCATTTAGAAGAAGCGGGTGTCGCAACGAAAATGGAAAAAATTGGATTTTTCATGCAATAAATAAATTTGCATGATATGATTGGTTACTTCGATCTTAAAAGATAAAACAATTTCTCAAAGAAGTTTAAATTTCCTTACATGACATTCCTTTTATAAAAAGAATACCAGAAATATTTAAGTAATTGATTATGCATTAATAATGAATAGTCATCTATCCTTTTATTTTCTGTACATTAATGCAGCTTAAAGTACATTAATGAATGAGCATCATTTACTCCAATTTTACTTGGAAACAAGGCTGGCCAGGAATTTTGAAAATAAAGTTTCAGAGGCATACCTTTAGGTTAGAAAATAAGTTTTATTAACATTTGTTAGTACTAAATTTTATTAACTGTTATTCAGTACTGTCATCAAAAATGCCGTCATTTTTACTATTAGCACTACTTTACAAGAGAATTTATCTTGAATTTTTCTTAAAATGTATGATTTTAAATATTTCATATACGTTGTGTATTATATTTTTTTCGGATTGAAAAGCCACCATAAGGATTTTTCGGATTTGTTAAAAGTTATGAAAACACAAAGTTTTCCAAAAAACCTATTGCGGATTTGTAATCCTGTGAGAAATCTACATTCAGTAAAACGCTTGAATTTTTTTTTTAACGTGAGATGAGTCTATTTAGCTTCAATTAGTAATTTTTCACTTCTTGATGCATTTGTATTTTTATTTTTTCAATATGACTGAATTATTTAGAAAATAAATATATATTAATGATCAGAAAATTAAATACCAAAAATTTTATAATATGGATAAATATTCTTTGAAAAACTTACTTATGAATGTTTAACTGCAGATCATATATTTTTAATAATATAACTGTAAAATACTTCGGACTGTCATTAACTTTTATTAAAAGCTAGTTTCGATTTGTGTTTTTCCACATACATTTTTTATTATTTTCTGTCGTAAATTGTTACGGTTAATATTGGATTGTCACTAAGAATTTCTGACACCCTGAAAGCTGGTATTTTTTACTGGGCTTTCACTATGAGAATAAAAATAATATTTCTTAGATAGTACTAGAGGTAATATTAAAATGCGATGGAATAAGTATTTCAACACTGAGTAACGTTCCTGTTTATTGAGTGTAAGTATATTATGAGTATAACTGTTAGCGAGATTTGTGCAAGATTATTTTTTACAGTTAACTATAGTATAGTATAAACACAAACTTATTCATGTATGGTATATACTTTATTCTCGTATAGTATATGCTTTATTCTCTTTGTAAACCCATATACCTCATTGTTAGTATTCGATAATTTCAATTTTGCGGCCAGCAGAATCCGAAACACATTAGCTTCTAAAAACACAATTTAGTTCAAAAAGCTAAAGCAATAAAAGTATAATTCCGTCGCTCAATTTGACGTGTAAAACATTTGAAAAAATTGGGAAAAAAAACTTGATTAAAATTGGTTTTTTAAATGATTGGTTGGTTGGTAATAAACTTCTTACTGTCCTCTATTGACTTTAATATTTTCCCATACAGTTTACTGTAGAGCAGTACTTTATAAACTATATTTTAACGTAATATTTACCTCAAAAGTTTGCCTATTATTTACCGAAATGTTTGACTTATTTTGTTACGATAAATTAACATTAAAAAAGGGTTAAAAAGCTTTGAAAAGTGAAGAGGTTTTATATATCTAAGAAATGGCTGCTTTAAAGAAATAATTTAATTCAATATTCAACACGCAGAGGTAATAAACTAGAAAAGATAGAAAAATACAATTCTGGAAAAGAAAAATACAGTTTAGTCCTTAATCTTCCTTCGAGAGCATTTTTCTATTTATTATCGAGAAAGTCCTCGAACAAAATGTGATGTTATAGGTTAGTTTTCGATTTTTCTAGAAGAAAAATATTAATGTTGTCACAAGCTTCGTTAAACTTTTTCTCTCAACTTCATCTGACATATTTTCAATAAACTACACGCTTGTCTAGGGAATCTATATCTTTTACAAACACATTAGATACTCTCTTCCGAGATGTAATTTACTTAGTTTTAGTTCACCTCATGTATTTCTCTTACATTTAAGATTTCAAGTTCAGTTGGTTTTCATTTCAAAGCATTTCTATGCTATTTTTTCAAACTATTTGCTATTGGAAAACATTTGAAAAAAACTGTATTGTTTCAGTATGGTGTTTGCTTCTTTATGACAATTCTTTGCAAAAACATTTTACATTTAAAAATTTACAGTTTGTTTCAATGCTCACAACACTGTAATGTTCACAATACTGCAATATACACCAAAAAAAAAATAATTAGAAACCCGCTTACATGATATTCTTTCAAGTAACTTGAAAGAATATCATGTAAGCGAGTATCATGTAATAACTAGTAACTTGAAATTCGATTTTAGGTAAATTCTAAATATTGCTTTAGTTATTAAAAACATTTATTGAAACATTTAGTTAGTAAAACATTTTCAATGTCTGTACTTATACAAACTTATTATATTTCAAATCTCAATATTTGCTTTTTCACAATATCTAGTAAATTTACTAAAAAAGAATTTAAAAAAAGGTAATTTTGTTTCTGTAGTTAAGAAATAAGTTAAAAAGTTGCATTTTTAATTTTTGTTTCTTGGAATCATTAAACCTATTTAATTTAAAAGAAATCTCTCATTAACCATCTACATTAAAAATAACAAAAAATTATTTTCTGTATAACTAGTTATTTTTCAATTGTCAATTAGACTAGGCATAAATAGTTCAAGTGATTTGACAAATCTCGGAAAATAGGTAAAATTTCATTAGAGTTTTAAATTTTCAACAGACTCAATAACGGGGACATTTTTCAACCTCATTTTTCTTATTTGTAATTACCCTCCTCCCACGTTTAGATCAAGAATTAGAAAGAGTTAAAAATAAGTGCATTTTTATGCTTGTTTTATTTAGAATGATTATTTTTTAATTATTTTTTGTATTTTATACTTTACTCCTCATTTAAAATTTGTTATTAAAATAAAGCTGAAAAAATTTCAATAAACTTCAGCTTAAAAAATTCCTTTGAAAAAAAAATCACAACTTTAAAAAAAAAATATTATTTTTTATTTTTATTTCCACTGTGAAAAGAAGTATGGTCAAAACCTCCAGAATATGGTTGTAGAGGCTGTTAATTGTGACAGCTAGGAAATCATGCAATTCCAGGGTAGAAGGATCGAGGATTCAATCGATGCCAAAGGTAGGAAAACTAAACAGAATAGTTCCTGTAGGAAGGATACCTGCGGAGGAACACAACCGACAACCACGGCTAAGAGTGAAGAGTCTGCTGTCCGATATTTAAGGAGAGGGCATTTTGCCATCGAGGTTGCAGCAGCGTCCGAGACTTCGTCCCGATACTTCGTTTTCCCCAGTGACGCCCACCTTCAGTATGAGATGCTTGCATACGACATTTTAAGTTTTAATTGTTTTAATAACAACTTTTAAATGTTTTTAACAAATAACCTGTTTTCTGAGTTTGTTTCTTGATGGATTGTTAACGTTTTCTATTAAAGAAGGATGTTTCATTGCAATATTGTTTCATTTGACATCTTCCAGTTTATCACGAAACAACAATTCATGACCCAGACGTGATTTTCTGCTTCTGCAAACTGCATTTGGGAAACTCTACTAGCTGATGGATTACGAAGGAATTTTGGCACGTTTCGAGTTTTAAAAATTTTGGCGAGCTGTGAGTTCAACTTTCGTCTTTTGTTGGACTTACATATTTCGGATTAATGCAAGAAATGCCCGAGTCTGCGGGAACTGCTGATCAAAAAATTGCTTTTGTCGCTGTTAAGTCACCACCTTTTTGGAGAGCTAATCCAGAGTTATGGTTCAGGAAAATTGAAAGTCTGTTCACGCTTGCTGGAGTAACAACAGAGTCAACGAAATTTCACCACGTAGTTTCTGCTCTGCAACCGGAGAAACTAGCGATTATCAGCGATATTATTATCAGTCCACCTGTAGATGAGCCTTTCACCGCACTGAATAAAAGATTGTGCGCTCAATATGATGAATCTGAAGTACAGCGCTTAAGTTGTTTGATTTCGGGAATGCAACTCGGCGACCGCTGTCCTTCAAAATTGCTTCTGGAATTGCGGAATAAAGCCGGTGCAAGAATTAACGATGAACTTCTCAAATCTTTATTTTTGCAGAGGTTGCCTGCTAATGTTCAACAGATTTTGGCTATTTCCAACGATAACCTAGACAAGCTGGCAGAGATAGCTGATGGTATTATGGCTCCGACAACTAGCTGACAGTCAGTCAGCACAGTTGCTTGTTCGACAAATCATTCGGATTGGCAGTCTTTATTGACAGATATCACAACTCGTTTCTCACGGTTGGAAGCTCGTACAAGTGACCGGTCAAAAAGTTCTAGTTAGAAATGCTCTACTAGCCGAAACCGACAGACTGCGAACTCGCAGTATTGCTGGCATCATAAAAAAAAATTCCAGAAACGAGCGACAAATAGCCGGCCTCCATGCTCGTTCCAGTCGGAAAACTGCTGAGGCCGTAATCCAGTCAAAAGGGTGACGGCGAAGCGATGACTCAGCGGCTTTATCTGACAGACAAGTCTACACCCTCACGTTATCTCATCGAAACGGGAGCTGACGTCTCTATTATACCTCGTGCTGCCTATGCATCTAGTGACTATACAGCGCAGATGAAATTGTTCGCCCTAAACGGTACGACCATTACAACGTTTGGCCAACGTCTGTTGAAATTAGACCTCGGACTCAGAAGAGAGTTCAGCTGGCCTTTTATCGTCGCTGCCGTGCCTCATCCAAATATCGGAGCTGACTTCTTGCGCAATTTTGGGTTATTAGTCGACATCAGAAATGCTGCAGTAATTGATCCTTTGACCAAGATGCAAACAAGAGGTACCCGGCATGCTGGAATTTCTTCAACTGTAAAATTATTTTTAGAGAAATCTAAATTCCACCATTTGTTGTCAGAGTTTCCTGCTCTGATTAGGTCAGGTGCCACGCCAAGAAAAGTTAAGCACGGAGGGGAAAATTGGATGCAGACAAAAGGACCGACTATTTTTTCGAAACCTCGACGTTTATCGCCAGATAAGTTGAAAGCTGCAAAACAAGAGTTTGAATTTTTGGTAGCATCAGAGGTTTGTCAGCCTTCCAAAAGCTGTTGGACAAGTCCGTTACACATGGTTCTAAGAAAATGGCGACTGGCGACCGTGTGGTGATTTTCGTCGACTAAATGGTGTGACCGTGCCAGATAGATACCCTGTTCCCCACATACAAAAGTGTTTTCAGGTTTTGGAAGGTAAAAGAATATTTTCTTCGTTGGACCTGGAGAAAGCATTCATTATCAGATTCCAGTGCGCAAGGAAGACGTACCAAAGACTGCGGTAACAACCCCGTTCGGATTGTTCGAGTTTTTGTATATGCCGTTTGGATTATCGCCCCAAACGGTACTGCCGCAACTTTCCAACGTTTCATCCATCAGGATTTAGGTGAGTTTGATTTTTGCGTACCTTATTTTGATGATGCGTTAGTAGCTTCGAAGAACGAAGAACATTTAATTCATTTAAAAAGAATTTTTCAGCGTTTTGCTGAATATGGTGTAACACTCAACGTAAGCAAATGTGTCTTGGGACAGCCTTCAGTAGAATTTTTAGTGCATTTAGTAACGGAAAAGGGTATTACTCCGCTTCCTGATAAAGTTTCTGTAATTGCTAATTTTCCTCAGCCAGTTACAGTTAGAGAGCTACGTCGATTTCTTGCGGTCTTGAATTTTTATAGAAGATTCATACCGAGATCTGCCCACACTCAAGCAATTTTAAACGAATATTTAAAGGGTGCTAAGAAAAATGATAAAAGCGTGATCAAGTGGTCGGAGGTAGCAGTTGCTGCGTTTAAGGAGAGCAAAAAGGAATTGGCGAATTCAACCAAGCTGTACTATCCTGTCATGAATGCACAGTTGCTGATGGTGGTAGACGCTTCAGATACTGCGATGGGCACTGCTTTGCATCAGCGTATCGAGAAAGAGTGGCAACCACTTGGTTTTTATTCAAAGAAGCTTGCACCATCTCAAAGAAAGTGCAGTGCTTACGACAGAGAGCTCTTGGCTGCGTACATGACAGTCGAATACTTTCGGCATATGGTAGAGGGTCGGCCGTTTACTATCTACACTGGCTACAAGCCACTTATACATGCCTTTAAACAGAAGGAAGATAAGTGTTCGCCAAGACAATCGCGTCATTTGGATTCTATTGGCCAATTCACTACGGATATTCAGCACGTGAAGAGAATAGATAACGTTGTTGCAGATGCGCTGTCCAGAGTAAACATTGCTACCATAGAAACACCTTCCCACATCAATTTTCCAGAAATTTCTAACAACCTAAAAGGTGACCAGGAACTATCCGAAATTTTAGCTCAAACCGGTAACTCATCTTCGGTACTTCAACCATTCGTAAGAGGTGATTCTGGTGTGGAGCTGTTTTGCGATATATCTACCAAACGGATTCAACCATTCGCACCCGAAGTGGACAGAAAAAACGTTTTTTCCAAACTGCATTCCATTTCACATCCAGTTATTAAAGCTACTATAAGGTTGGTGGAAGAGCGATATGTTTGACCTGGTACAAAGAAAGATGCTAGGACATGGGCTCAGCAATGCTTGGCTTACCAACGTTCCAAGGTGACACGTCACACGCAGAGCAACCTTGGCACGTTTGTTCCGCCTAATTCCAGATTCGAGCATGTGCACATCGACATCGTACGTCCCTTGCCACCATCAGAAGGTTTTCGCTACTGTCTTACTTGTGTTGACCATTTTTCCAAGTGACCAGAAGCGTACCCGCCAGCAGATATAACAGCCAAATCTGTTATTCAACTTTCTACGATGGATGGATTGCTAGGTTTGGAATACCCCCACGAATCACAACTGACCAGGGAACACAGTTCGAAGCCTCACTGTTTGATGCCCTGACTAAGTTCCTGGGTTCGACCCGTCATCGAACAAGCCCTTACCATCCCGCAGGAAATCGTCAAGTGGAAAGATTTCACAGACAGCTGAAGGGAGCGATTAGAGCCTACAGTACAAGTCAGTGGACCATAGTTTCACCTACCATTCTTTTAGGTATTAGGCCTGCATGGAAGGAGGACTTGCGAGTAACGACAGCTGAAAAGGTTTATGGAACTCCGATAAGACTGCCTGGAAAATTTTTATGTCCGTCTACTGGTACAGCGGATCCCGCAAACTTTGTTGGAAAGCTCAATGAGACCATGCAGGAGTTGCTGCCAGTAAAGTCTAGACATCAAGAACATAGAGCAGTTTTTGTAAGTAAAGACCTTTCATCTTGCAGTCACGTTTTTCTGCAGTCCGATGTCCTAAAAAAAGGCCTGCAGCCACCATACGAAGGTCCATTTCAAGTGCTAAGGGGAGGGGAAAGGTTTTTAAGATTCTTATTCATGACCGAGAGAGTACGGTAAACGTGGATCGTCAAAAGTCTGCATATGTATCCCGAAATGAAAAGGACATATTTCCTAAGAGCGGATTAACAGCTATGAATGAATCGACAGAGGATGAATCTACTCTCCCAGAGCCTGGTAACATGCCAAACTAGGTTAAGACACGATCAGGCAGTCGAGTTAGGTTTCATGGGAAGTATCAGCAATGAGCTGGAAAAGTCTCGCTAACGCTGGTAGGGAGCTACAGTAGAGGCTGTTAATTGTGACAGCAGGAAATCATGCAATTCCAGGGTAGAAGGATCGAGGATTAGATCGAAGGCCGAAGGAACACAATCGACAACCACGGCTAAGAGTGAAGAGTCTGCTGTCCAATATTTAAGGAGAGGACATTTTGCAATCCACTCACACTTCAGCCACGGTAGAGAGAGGTTGCTCTTCAAACCGGTTCTATGGATTTCGAAAAAGACGACGGGTCTGCAGGCACAGGTCAGTCCGAGTGTTGCGGGGGCCAGACCACCGGACGGTCGGAAAACCTGCCCGTGGATTCCATGTATCTCGCGTCCACCCATTCCCCCCAGCCCTTATCAGGGCTCACAGACCGGGAAATGGGGGATACGGCTAAGTCACAGCCACGGGATGCGGGGCTACTTGGCACTCTTGCGGCACCGACAGGGATGGCTACGCCGGAACTGCACGGACCGTCTGGGAGCCTTGTAGTACCCAACACGGATAGGAGTGACAAGAAATAGATCGTATCTCTGGCCCCAACATGGATAGGCAGGATACAATTATATCTCAGGACCCAAATGACAACAACCTGACGATGGATCAACTCAAGGAAAGCTGCGATAGGATTAAGTTATACATTGCCCCAACTATTGAAGATAGAGACAATAGAAATACTATTCTGGTCCAACATTGTTATATTGGAAGACTTGCAAGAGAGATAAGTAAATTAGGAGATGAACTAAACAAATTAAGACACGAGGTGTCATGGTATTTAGAGGCGAAAGGGTAGGCCGTGAATGGAGTAAACCCAAACCAAAGAATAGCTTTAATATCAATAATTATAAATCCTAATTTTAAAACACCAAAACGACCCATCTGAGAGATACGGAAATTCCAACTAAAATAGCTTCAGCCCTCTAGAGTTGACGACGTAGAACTTGATAAAAACGATAATATGGAAACTGAGCAGTTGAATCAAACAAATAATAATAACAAATATAAAGGAAAAAGGAAAGCATCCCCAGTCAAGGATTGCTTCAGCGAGAATAAACAACTAGATACTGATGATATGCAACAAAATAATAATGCAGATAATAACAGTAACGAAATTGAGGTAAATGAAATTGATTTCCTAGCCCCAAGGAAAACCATTAAAAACCCACCTCTAATTGTAAGAGATGAAAATTTTGACTACGAAAAGTTCACGAAAGATATGAAAGAAAAAAATATTCCGGATTATGTATGCGAAAATAGTCATGATAGTATTAACGCAAAATTGAAGAAACATTCAGGTATATAAGATCCTACGTTGAAGGCAGCAAAATAGCACATTATACGTATAGACTTCCCAACGAAAGAAATCTTAGAGTTGTAATTAAGCAAATCCCTAAAAATTACTGCAAAGATGATCTAATCGAGCATCTAATCTTCGAAGGTTTCGATGTTTTGAATGCAGTTCAAATGCAGTCCGAAAGATATAAATGAGAAGTTACAAGGCTTAACATGTTCCTAGTGACCCTTAATAAAACAGGAAAATTTAAGGAAATATATAGCCTAACTACTCTTAATAGCATGCAAATAAAAGTTGAAAA